GTGTGTGTGTGTGTGTGTGTGTGTGTGTGTGTGTGTGTGTGTGTGTGAATACCAGAAATCTCATGAGCGTGTACCCCGTTTAGACTTATGGATCCACATTACCTCAAACATTTTAAATACTCAAAGCAACTGTAATACCGCTGCCAAATTTTAACAGACTTCAATAATCATCATAATTTATGAAAATGTTAAAGAACAGAGGCGCCTCGGTGACCACAGATCTGTCAACCCAGACTCCCGAGTCCTAGTCTATGAATGCAGGATATGAGTTAAAAAAGAAAAAAAAGAAAGAAAACTTCTCAAATTTCAGGAGTATTTTCACTGGGTGTTTTGGAAGTTGAGGCAGTAAACACACAAAACATTTCTCAGTCTACAAGTGTCTGCTTTCTTTCATTTCTAAACCAACTTGATAATGGAAAGAAGTTAATTCACTTTTATTGTTAATCTAACAAATGTAAAGTGACAAAAATAATTACAAAGAAGATGATTTTAAAAAGTATTTTTCTGTTTAAATGGGCATGCTAGTTAAGTTCTGTTAGAGTTTAAGGAAAGCCTAACATAGTTGAAACCAAAAGGGTACCATTTTGATAAAAACAAAAAGTTATATAGCCCCCAGCATGGTGAGTAGCATATGGTTAGAAAATAATGTCTGAGTTTTAGAGCCTGAAGTAAAGGGAGTAATGGGAGAAGATGGGGGTGTGATAAGAAACCACATTGGCCCATTTAAAATGTTTTAAGGATGCTGTAGAACTGATTGATAGTTCCTTTGTAATGAGCTGTAAAGGGTAAGAATATAAAAATACCTAGAGTGGGCATTTTTAAAGATACCGTGGAAGATGAGACTTTTACCTCAGGATTCTGAAATTATATTTGCATCTTTTTATGGAATTATTATGTTTCACTGCAGGTGCTATGACCTTTTGCACAGGATAAAAGCTGTGTTTGTTTATTAAACTAGGCTGTTAAATATCATGTCTATAAACAGCAGATACAAGGGCCTACAAGTAAACTAGACTGATCAGTCTTGATCACTATGTAGACATGATATTACCTAGTAATATAAAAATTATATGGGCCGTAATTAAAGAGCACAGACTCTGCTTCCTGCTTGATAATCACCTAACGGTATGAAATGGAGCCAGAGGGCTCCTTTCTTTTTAGTTAGGTTTCCTTTTCTATAAAGACAAAATGCGTTTAGATGGCATTTTGAAAAAGTACCACAATCTTAAGAGAACATATGAATCACATTGTTGTCATGAAAAAGTTAAGATTTATCCTCATTCCTTGTCCTATCTTTTCCTTGACCCCAAATTCTTACTGGAGCTATATTTTCCCTTATCAGATCACATCACTGTAGTCTTAACCTTCAAAGTTTTCCTTGGTTGTTATCTACTTCTTTAATTAAGGGGTAAATTCTTGGTTTCACTAATAAACATTTCTAACACTGTACAGGGAAGAAAGAAACACACTCATACACACATTTGGTTTTTCTAGACAAGATTTCTCTGTGTAGCCTGGCTGTCCTGAAACTTGCATTGTAGACCAAGCTGGCCTCAAACTCAGAGAACTGCTTGCCTCTGCCTTCAGAGTGCTGGATATAAAAGTGTGTGCACACTACTGCCTGTATTTACTTTTCTATAATGTTGATTTGTGTCTTTTATCTCTTGTGTTGGAAGTCAAACCCAGGGCCATGCATGTTACATGTGTGCTTTAGTATTGAGCAACATTCTCAGCCCTTATTGTCTTTAAAAATCTTCATACTTAGGCTGAGAAATAGCTCAGTGGGTAAAATGTGTGCTATGTAAGCGTAAGGGCCAGAGTCCAGTCTCTTAGAACCTGTGTCTAGATGAAACACATGCTTGCAATCAGAGTGGACGCAGGATGGTCCCTGGGGTTCACTGGCCTGACAACCTCGCCTAATCTGATGGGAAAGCACCCTGAGGATGCTGGGGCCGAAGGGGTCCTCTGCGAGAGCAGCTGTCAGTGCTTTTAACCATTGAGCCATGTTTAGCTTACAGTTTTTTTATTTTTTCTTTTTTAAAATTATTATTTAAGATTTGTTTGTTTTATTTCTGTATATGAGTATGTGTGCCTTCATAAGTCTGTGCACCATGTGTGTATTGTGCCCTCAGAGACCTGAAGAGGGCATAAGGTCCCAGGAGTCACAGGCAGTTGTGAGTTGCCTGATGTGGGTGCTGGAATCAAGCCTGCACCCTCTATGAGAGTAATAAGTGCTCTTGACGGCTTAGCCTTCTCTCCAGCTGCTCCCTAGAAGGAGATTTTTGTTGTTGATGTGGTGGGTTTTTTTTTATAGTAACAAAATAAACATCAAAGTAACTCCTACTTTATAGGATTGATGTGTGTTGAAAAAAGTAATACATGTTAAGATGTAAATTACATAAACTAATAAATTGTATCCATTATTATCTATGATTATTTTTCTTTTTTGATTTAGTTTTGTCTATGGTTCTTCCAGCATATCTCTTTTTAAGACCTTTTAAAAACTTACGTATGCTAACCTGGTCTGTAGAATCTCACTCTGAAAGTGATACAGTCAGTCCCAGTTCTCAAAGAATTTACGCTCTTGCAAAAAATTTAGAGAATTGAGAAAATAGTCCTTTAATCCCAGCACTCGGGAGGCAGAAGCAGGCAGATCTCTGTGAATTCGAGGTCAGCCTGGTCTACAAGAGCTTGTTCCAGGACAGACTCCAAAGCTACAGAGAAACCTTGTCTCAGAAAGAGAGAGAGAGAGAGAGAGAGAGAGAGAGAGAGAGAGAGAGAGAGA